GAAGGAGTGAGCGAGTAAGAGAGAGAGAGAGAGAGAAAGAGAGGGAGGTGAGGGAGGAGATAGAAAGATGAGTGAGCGAGTATGAGAGCGGAAGGGGTATAGAGAAAACGAAACAGGTGAGAGATAGAGGAAGATAGCGAGAGAAAGAGAAAAAAAGAGAGAGTGATAAAGTGGCAGAGAGGGAAGGGGGAGGGGCATATAGAGGTGGGGTGAGCTAGTACAAGAATACAGAGAGGCTTTAGAGAGAAAGAGGGGGGAGGAGAGGGCGATAGAGAGAACACGAGAAAATAACATCGAGTGAAAGGCGGTTGAGCACGCAAGTATATATCGAACGGTGTGGTGAAATATTGCTGAAAAGCATTTACTGAGGAAAAACTATTTAATTCCGTGTGATATCATATAATTTAGAAGCGCACGAACAGTAACTAACTCGCTTGTACAATCCTAATTCTACTACACACGTAATCGTGTTTTCAGGTGACGTCGTTCCGACACTCTACGTTGCGTTCGGAGCCAACAAGCAGTCCCGCATTCCGACGGCAGGTGGCTCTGCCGTCTGCTCCTATAGCATGGACTTAATAGGGCTATATTTTCGAGACGCTATCAGGTGGTGCTACGGTCGCAATGGGCACCCGGACATACCCTGGATGAGCCAACAAAGCTGCTCCTACTCGGTGCGTGCTACATAAGAGGCGATGTAAAGGCAGGGTAAAAGATGGGGGTAGGGTTATGGTTATAGTTATGATTAGGGTTAAGATTGGAATTAGGATTATGGTTATGGTATGGAATTATTGGAATTATGGTATGGAAATGATTATCGAATGGTAGGATTATGGTATGGAATTAAGACTATGATTATATAGGGTTAAGTTTACGGTTAAGGTTAATGTTAAGGCTGCAATTAGGGTTGGGGTTGGGGTTAGATTTAGGATCAGAGTTAGGATTAAGATAATGATCACAGTTCTCATTCTCATATTCAGACTCACCGGTTCACAACTCTCACGACCATCCCTCTAAATACTTCCCCCACTTCACACAGCACTTCCTCTGAATACGTCACTGATCATTTCACACACGGCCCTTCCTCTAAATGCTTTCCTCATCTCGCGCAACTTTGCCCTATAAATAGCCCCGCATCTTACACGCCCCTCCCACCCAATCACTGATAACTCACACGACTCTCCCTCTAAATCACAGGGAATTTCACGCGACTCTTTCTCTCTCTCTCTCTCTCTCTCNCAGTATTACAGTATTACAGTATTACAGTATTACAGTATTACAGTATTACAGTATTACAGTATCACAACGACGCAACCTTACAGTGGTACAACCTTACAATATTATTATTTAGGGGGGCCTACATCATTACAATATCGCAACGTTATATAAGAAAACAGAATTACAACATCCCAACATCGCAACATCGCAACATCGCAACATTGCAACATTGCAACATCACAACATCCCAACACCCCAACATCCCAACCTCCCAACATCCCAACATCCCAACATCGCAACATTGCAAAATCCCAACATTGCAACATCGCAACATCGCAACATACGCAACATCCTAACATCCCAACATCCCAACACCCCAACACCCCAACATCCCAACATCCCAACATCCCAACACCCCAACACCCCAACATCCCAACATCCCAACATCCCAACATCCCAACATCCCAACATCCCAACATCCCAACATCACAACATCCCAACACCCCAACACCCCAACATCCCAACCTCCCAACATCCCAACATCCCAACATCGCAACATCCCAACATTGCAACATCGCAACATCGCAACATACGCAACATCCTAACATCCCAACATCCCAACACCCCAACATCCCAACATCCCAACATCCCAACATCCCAACATCCCAACATCCCAACACCCCAACATCA